TGCGTATCCGAAGTGTTCGAGGTTTGCGAGGACACCGTGTACACTGAAGACCTGTGGCTTGGATTGCTAGAGTGGACGGACGAGCGCGAATTCGTCGTAGCTCCGCCAGTGGTGCTTGCAGAATGGTGCGAGTAGTTCGATGCGCGTGCCGCATCTCCAGCTGAGGTCGAGACCACTCTCTGTGTTCCCACTGCCGGCGACGCGACACTCGATGCAGGCTTCTGCGGAAGGAATACAGAGGAAGAGGATGCTGACACAGGGGTCGAGAACATGCTACCAGGTGATTGGACTGGGGTGACTCCAGAAGGCGAAGGCACACCGCACCGAGCCCGCGCTCGTGCCAGATAAATGTCGCGCACCACTGCAAGGTCAGACGCGTAGCTCTTCTCGGTTTCCACAAGCTCCGAGATGACGTTCCGGCGTCGGAGAAGGCGACGCAGCTCTGGTGAGAGCTCATCGCGCGGTGACAAGGGAGCGGAGGATGTTTGCTCCATCGTGTGCGTAATCTGAGCGTCAGTGGTAGCGCTGCTGGGAAATTGTCCAAGAGATACTTCGCTGCCTTCAGAAGTCCGCCGGCGAAGCAGAGGCATGGAAGTCTTAGCTTGGATGACTCCATTCTCACCATCCTCCTCTTGCGGGGAATCGAAAAGACGCCGAATCTGGGGACGGGAAGGCTCCGTAGGGCGCCGGGTCCGCAGGCTCCGTCCGAAGAAGCTACCAGGACTAATTGTATCAGGCGTCACAGCACTATCAGGCGAATCTTTGCTGCTGAAGGGCCATCTCTTGCTACTCTTCTTCTTGGCGCTAACAGTACCTACTTCGACCGTCGAGTCGCTTTCGCCGTGAGCTGACGAAGGCCGACTTGGACCGGGTTTCCGCTTGCTACCAAGGACTTCGGAAGGTGAGACCTTGCGGAGTGTGCGCCAGGACGTTGACGAACCATCCTGAGAGCCTGGCGTAAGGCTGGTTTGTGAATGCTTCTCCAAGAGGTCAGGTTGAGAGCTCGTATCAAGCCCATCGAGAAGTTCGACTGGTTCATCGATCGCCGCCTTTGCAGGCACGGGAGGCCCGACAGGCGACTCCACGGACGATCCGACAGAGAGTTGGGGTGATTGTTTCGACAGTCGATGACCACCTTTCTTTGGCGTGGGAGCTGGCTGCAGCTGCACGCCCTGGTGCCACGGAGGGAAGCCTGTCTGCGAGGAAGCAGGAGATCCAACAGAGACTGCGCTGGCAGATGCATGGTCAAACGCAACATCTTCACCTCTGGGTGAGAAGCCAAGGGCATCCAAAGTGGGAGCGAATGTCTCCAGACTGCTGCGTACAGGGCTGAGAGGAGCATTCTCGGCAGAGCAGCCGTTACTTTCCGGTTCACCAGCCGCTGAGATCGCTGACCCTGACTCTGCATTCGCACCAAGCTGGTTTGATTTCGCGACTGCCCTCGCACGCAGAGCATTCTTCTGAGGAAGCGCCGGTCTGCGGCTCTCAATCGCGCCAATGCTTGGCGAAGCCAGACGTGAAGCGGGCGCCGTGCTGTCGGAAATGGAAGTTCGAGACGATTGATCCTCAAGAGTCTCCGCTTGATTCAAAGGCAGGGGATGACCAAGGACGGAGTGCAAATGAGGAGTGTCTTGAGAGGTTTGTGACGAGCCCAGGCCATGCGAAGCACTGGTCGAGTCCTCTTCGGGCACAGGACTTGGAGCGTTGACGTGGTGACCCGATCCTAAGCGAGATCCGAGTGTGGGAAATGCACCGAGACGAGCGCGAATCGAAGAAACCGAAGCACCGAGCGACAGCTCTGCTTGCCCCGCAGAAGCGAGAGGGTCATGAGCTTGGCCCTGGGCGGGAGGCGCGGAGCTGTGCTGAGCCCTGCCATTGAGTGCGGGCCGCAAGGCAGCTGCATTCTCGAACCGTGCAGCAAGAGCTGCAACAGCGCCTGGCATTTTGCTCGGACGAGTAGATGGGCTCGTCGAGGCTGGCGATATCGGCGAAGAAGGCTCGGCTTCATGGAGGCTCAAGGTGGAAGAGCTGCCCTGCATCTGTAGCAGTTTTGTACGAGGTGAATCGAGGGTTCGCGTGGCAGACAACGGGGAGCGAGGTGTGGTTGGCGTGGTAGAGCTCGAGCGGCGTGGCAAAGAAGGCCTTCCAGGCGTGTCCGAGAGCACGTCTTGCGTGTTTCGAAGGCTGCTGGTCCTCGGCAGCGGCGCAGCTATGCTTGCCGCCAAGCTGCGATAGCTACCAGCGCTTTCTCTGCGACTATGCCGTTTGGAGTTTGAGCGGCTTAATCTAGTCTCGCTCAATGAATCCTCCGAGATTGGTGATTGCATCGGCGAGGCTCCCATCGACTGGGGACGCAATCTCGCATCGCTTCGGGGCGAGCCCTCCGCAGTGCCTGGTCGTCGTCCACCAAGTTGAGGTTTTGGGGAGCCTCGGTCGCCCATGGACCCTGACCTCTCCCTAGCGCGCGGAGTCCTATCCAGAGCTTCGTTGCGAATCACAGCAGCTGGGGCCAAGGCGGCGCTGCTCACAGCATGTGTTGCCTCACTTGCCGTGCTCTCCTCTTCCCTCCCTGCTCGCGCTCGATCCTGGAGCCGGAGAAAAGAGCTGTCTGCCGGAAAGAAAGGAGTGGCAGGCGAGGATCCTTCAGATGGATGAGATGCTGACAGCAATCCTTCCGAAGGTCTAGCATCAGACTCGTACGACGCGTGCTCTTGCAGCTTCCCCAAGCTCCGTTTTGAAATGTGAGAATAAGCCTCGTCGGCGCCTGCGAAGTAGAATGACATGAAGTGAGCTGAACAGTAGCTGCTTGAACGCCCTCAAATACCAAGAGCAAATAGCAAGAGAATACTTACCGACAGCCCCTTCGATCTCTGCCCCGATGCTTTCTCGCGAGCGCGAGCTCGAGCTCTCGCTGCGAGCCAGCGATGCCGCAGCGCCAAAGGGGTGAAGCAAAGCACTCCCTGATTGCGGGGTGGAGCTACGTAGCCCATTCGCGGCTGGGCCCTGTACACCTTCAGAAAGATGATCTGCGTTTGCAAGCTGAACCGGCTGAGATTGCGAGTTGGCCATTCCGGGAACGGGAGGCGGTGGATACGTCGGCGCCGCGCGCGCCTCTGCGTTCTGCTCTTCTTCAGGTGTGGTTGCCACTGCGATTTGCAGAGCTTCTGCTGCAGCCAGTTTGGAGGTGCTTCGATTTGAGGAGGATGCGCTCATATCAGACGACGGCGACCCTGAGTCGTCCAAATGGGCGCGCGTATCAGCCTGCGGAACACCGTTGGTGACTTTGGCCTTGCGCAACCCAAACAGGCGGGAGCGTAGTGTGCTCTTGATTGCTGAGGAGCCCGCCCCTGTGCCCTCATTTCCAGGGGAAGCCTCGACCGCGTGGCCCGTGTGCCCGTGCAACACATCTGCAGATGCAGAGCTTGAAAGTGTCGCTGCCACATCTGCCTGGCCACCTCGCAAACGAGCCTTGCTATGCGCAAGGTCAAACATGCTGGCAGAGGCGGTCGGGATCCAGCGTGAGCCCGCGCTAGCAAGGGGTGATGTCGCTTCCACGGACAGGGGCGAGGAAGGTCTACTCGAAGCAAGACCCTGTACTCGTTGAGGTCGCAGTGATGGCACAGGAGGCACCTCTTCTTCAGGCAAAGCTCTACTGATCGGGTCGGCGTCACCGGCAGATGCGACCCTTCTGCCGCGCGTGCTGGCTTTGCTGCTTGGGCGAGGTCCAGATGCTCGAGTCGTCGACTCGTTTGGAATCTGCGGTTGATGATCGCTTGCGGCAGAGGACGGGGAGTCGCGATGGCTTTGTATGGATGAATTGGGTGAAGGCAAGTCCCCTGATGGCCACCGTGACCCCTCGACGGACGCCACTGCGCTGCTAGCCAGAATCTTCGACCTGGAACTTTTTGTGCCCAGTGGCGTCGTTGGTGGCGAGGCGGGATTACGATAGGGAGATCTTTGGCGTCCGTGCGAAGACCGGCGCCCGCTGCTATTGCTATAAATGGATGCTGCAGAGGGACGTCGAGTGCTGTATGGATGGGCAAGAGTCAGAGAGCTGCCACTCGCCTTTGTCAGGTTGCCCGCGCTGTGGTCGTCCGCGCCTTTCGGGGCAGGATCCTGATCCATTTGACCTTCCTCGCCAACTTTGCCGGCATGCTCTCGACTTGCAGCGAATGGGGGCGGCTTGCTCATCTTGTCTACAATTTTGCCGCACTACGCGGCACGCGGTACTCGACCGGGCCGCAAGACCGCGCGGAAACAAAGGCTGTGCTCTCTCGACGAGGCCAACAGCAGAGATGATGGTGCGGGCAGGGGCCAGTGTTGAGGGCGTTGAGGCTGCGCTGAGAAGCTGTTTGTCTTCGGTACAGCTAGGTGACAGACAGGTCGCAGCTCAATTGGCAGGCGCGATGACGAACGAATGCAGCGAATGATGGTGCGTCCGCCAAAGCACTTGGGCGCAGGTATTAATGGGTCCTCTGGTGATGGAGAGGCCGCCGCGCTTGGAAGAATGCTCGGCATCTAGCCTTGCGTACCCCGTCGCGCGTACGTCTTGGCGTAGCGAGTCTGGCGGTGACGACAGCGAATGCGACCCAGCAGTACGAATGAATGGGAGGGCAGGATCGAAAGAGGAGGTGCGGAATGAGAGTCTCGGGTGAAGGTACAGACAGAGCTGCGCGCACTTTCATATGCCACAGCGCAAATGCGGTTGCCATGTGAAGAAGCACTGCAAGCGGTGGTGGGTAAAGTCGAGAGATCACGAATGATGGTATCGCACTCACACTCGTGACTCTCTGCTTCAAGACCCCGCGGTTGGTGTGAGAATTCTAGGCTCAGCATGTGGTACAGTACGTCCGCCCAAACGCATAGCAAACAGGTTGATGCATGTATGCTGCGTGCACGGAGCGAAGTTTGCAGGAATAAGAAACAAGGGTACCGCACTGTAGCCGCGCTGCGAATCACGAATGCTGATTCCGTGGCCTTGTGCAGCCACGCGCACAGGACCGCTTTTGTGATGCATGACGCTCTCAGCCAAAGGGTGCATAACTAATCAGAGTGTGAAACACGCTGCGATGGTGAGCTAGTGTAGCAGCTAGTCACAAGGATGAGTAGCAATATTGCACCTCAAATCTTGAATCTTTCCTTCCATCGTTTTGAGGATGATCGATCGGCATTCGCGCAAGAAAGTCGTGACCCGCCGTGAGTCATCTTGATCGAGTCTTAAGCTCAGCAGCTCGGCGTCGCATGGGTACGAATTACGAGTCAAGTATGTAGTCTGACACCGGTATACTTTTGTCTTCAAGGGGCCTTTCATTTGAATTGTATGGTGTCCAGTGCCGTTATGATGTGGTCTGCGTGCGGACTGAAGAGCAGCAGCAGCACGAC